GGTTATCTACCAAAACAAAGAAACTAATGATGATGGATCCCTCGGGCACTAAAAACTCCGGACGTAAACTCACTCCACTCTCGGAATGTCCGGGTGGAGGGTGGGCTCGAGGGAACAACATCGAAGATAAAATTTGTTTTTCGAACATCTGCGGGATCAACAGCAACATCGATGCTGTTCATCACTACCTGCAATCCAATCGTCCCGCCGTGCTTTTCTTGGCGGAGACAAAAATCTCAGAGACTGCACCGATTAACCATCTCAACTTCCCAAACTACGAGGTGCACTCCAATCTGAGAAAGAACGGGGGAGTTGTGGCTTTTGTCCGCAGCAGTCTTTCCTGCTCCAGGGATCTTTCTTTGGAATCAGACCGGAAGGACATTCTGTGGCTTCGCCTCAACTCCAAAACATCACCCAAATTTATTTGCTGCCTTTATCGCTCTCCCTCGAACCATAACTGGGATGACCTACTCGAATACCTCGCCGTCCAGATCGACTTCCTGAACATCAATCACCCCGCTTCAGAGGTAGTTCTCCTCGGTTATTTCAATGCCCATAATGAGCTTTGGTTGGGCTCAAATAAGACCGATGCAGCAGGTCGTGCAGTCGAAGCGTTCGCTCTTACTCAAGGGCTGACCCAGCTGGTGACGAGCTCTACTTTTTTCCCCGCGTCTCGTCACACGCCAGTAGCCTGCTGGATCTCTTTCTGACCACGCATCCTGCCCCTTACAGCACTGCTGTCCTGTCCCCCCTGGGTAACTCAGATCACGGTGTTGTGGAGGTTAGGTTTCGGTCAGAAGCCGCTGTGGCAGCGGAAACTCGCACAGGCCGCAAAACTTGGCATTACGGACATGCCGACTGGGAGGGGCTCAGAGACTTCTTCTCTAGCTTTCCTTGGAGAGATGTCTGTTTCACTGACGCGGATGCGTCGACTGTCTGTTCTTCAATAACCGAAATTATCCACGTCGGAATGGAGGAATACATCCCTCACACAGTGAAAGTTCCTAAACCAGGGCCCAACGGCTGGTTCAACAAATCGTGTGACACTGCTCGCCAGCAGAAGATCAAGGCCCACAGAACCTACTTACAAAACCCCACTGTAGAGAACAGACAAGCCGACGTCACCTCCAGAAACAAATATAACGAAGCGGTTCGCAATGCCAAAAACCAGCATGATATAAAAGTTAGGCACAGGGTAATGTCGCAGCGCAATGGCAGTCGGTCTTTCTGGACGCTGGCCAAGCAGATTGAAAAGAACTTCTCACACAGTAGCCTTCCACCACTTACGTGTCAGGATGGAACTATTGTATTCGACTCAAAGGCCAAGGCGGAAGTGCTAGCCAAGATCTTTGCTGCCAACTCCACCATGGACGTCCCCACCAACGCCCAAGTGCCGTCAATTCAAAGGGTTCCCCACACTATGCGAGAGGTAACATTCAGGCATAAGACCGTAAGACGAGTGCTCTTGTCGCTCGACATCAACAAAGCTTCTGGTCCGGACTTGATTCCTGCCATTGTACTGAAGAGATGTGCAGCGGAGCTTGCTCCAGTTCTTTCGCGTCTCTTCCAGATATCTTATGAATCCGGCACCTTCCCTGAAAACTGGAAAGTTGCTCATGTACAGCCCATCCCAAAAAAAGGATCTAAAACCGACCCTTACAACTACAGGCCTATAGCTCTGCTTTCTGTTTTAAGTAAAGTGATGGAGAGGTGCATAAATCGCGAGCTTCTAGACTACCTCGAACGTCACAGCTTGATTAGCGACAGGCAGTACGGTTTCCGGCACCAACGATCCACAGGGGACCTCCTAGCTTACGTCACGCAACTGTGGAGTAAACTCATCCAGTCTCATGGTGAGGCTCATGTCGTTGCTCTTGACATCACGAAAGCGTTCGATCAGCTGTGGCACGCTGCCCTCTTAAGCAAACTTCCATCCTACGGCCTCCCAGAAAAGCTTTGCAGATGGGTGGCTGACTTTATCTCTGGCCGCAAGGTATCCGTCGTAATTGACGGATTCTCCTCTTCATCCCACAACGTCAACGCGGGTGTTCCCCAGGGATCGGTCTTGGCTACAACACTGTTTCTCTTACATATCAACGACCTCCTTTCCTGCACGATCAACCCAATCCACAGTTTCGCTGATGACAGCACTCTACATGCAGGAATTCAGAGTGACAAGCCGATGTCTGCCGCTGAGCTGGAAAAAAGAAGACTAGCGACGACTTCTTCTCTGACAAGAGACCTGGAAGCTATCACTGCTTGGGGACGCAACAATCTTGTACAGTTCAATGCTTCCAAAACACAGTACTGTACTTTGACGAACAAAAAGCGTCCTAGCGCTCATACAGTTTCGATGGACGGTCGAGTTCTACCAAAGAGCCATTCATTTCGGCTGGTCGGAGTCCAGATCACCGAGGACCTGATCTGGCACGAACACATCTCTTCAATATCTGCAGCTGCTGGGAAAAAGCTAGGCTATTTGTTTAGGGCTAAGAAGTACTTTTCTCCGCATGACCTTCTCACTCTATACAAGGCCCAGATAAGGCCTAGCTTCGAGTATTGCTCACACATTTGGGGTGCTGCCGCCCCGACTACATTGTCCATGCTCGATGCTGTCCAGAGGAGGGCGGTCCGACTGATCGATGACTCTTCTCTAACAGACAGTCTCGGGACTCTTTCGCACCGGCGGGCCGTCGGCGATCTAGCTCTTTTCTATCGCTACACCAACGGGTTTTGCTCCTCAGAGCTCTCTTCCATGATGCCGCCGCGCGATGTGCCTGCCAGACACACCCGCCTGACTTCGGCGTCCCATCCTAACCGTGTCAAACTTCGTACATCCAGAACTGGCCGATACGACCGCTCCTTTGTTCCGAGGGTGTCTAGATTGTGGAACAATCTATGGGAGGAAGCTTTTCCCAGTTCTACTAACCTTAGGCAGTTCAAAAATCGTATTAACAAAATTTCTTTGGGATCATCATAGCAGCCGCGGTGTTCCGGCATTTAGGCTTCTGCCTGCGCGGCTGTTTCGATATAAAAAAAAAAGTTTTTTTTGTAATCCATCGTGATACTTTCGATAGCGGGGAACTTCGAGGCACGTTTGCGGTAAGTTCTCTTTAGACTGTAAAATCGCTCACTCCTTTTTTGATGTAGGTAGTGTCTTCTCAAGTATCTTTTTCTCCAAATTATCACTTGCTGACTGCCTAGTTTGTTCCGTGTGGGAATTTAAGGTAGCGGTAAGTGAAGATATATCAGCTTTTAAGGAATCAGACGTACTACAAGTATCTTTTCATGGATAATCGAACGATATATTGAAGTTGTTTTCAAAGATTTCTCGGAAGGATTCATAGGAAATCTTGTTTTCAACATTGCCAATAGTACATTTTGCGAAATTTTGCGATATTTAGATTTTCAGGTAGGTAAACTTTTTGCGAATCTGCCAAAGAATAATGAGATTTGCGACATTTGAGGCTCTTAATAAACTCGGCCACTTTCTGTTTTGTGTTTTCTGAAAGTTTGTGAAGTCGTGTGTTGTGTTTTCCACGCATGTTGATGGGCGATTTCCCAGTTGCAACTAATGAGTCTCTTATGTACCGAACTCGACGAACTGTAAATCCGTGTAAAGACAAAAAAGCCTTAAGACAAACTGGAACATCACTTATAATTCCATTTCTAACCAATCTGACACGATAACTAAATGAAGCATTATTAAGCCTTGACTCTGCTTCATTTTTTTGAGGGCGTCTACGCATGACAGGAAGAACAGTGATAAGACCACTAAGATAAGCGTTTTGTGCATTAGTGTTTCCTAGTTCATTAAATTCACGAAGAAGTCTACAGCGTTCAGGTTCAGGAACAGTAGTAAAACAGCGAAAGCGTTCACAAAAACAATCAGATCCAAGTTCGTGGGTAGTGGCGCGCAACGTTTTCATCACGTCTCTTTGTCTTCCTGTTTTTTGCATTTTTTCGTTTCTCTTTTTTATGGGCCTGGTTCATTCTATTTGAAACTTACACAAAACCCGTATTATAAACTAAATTAGCGAATATAGTCAATATTCAAAATATCAGCGTATACAACACACGTGGACTCTAATAGTAAACCAATGGCTGCTGCAATAACGAAGCGCCCAAGCAGTACGCCCGATGCAACGCCGCCTTTTCATATGGACTGATGCCGTTTTTCCATACACGCGCAGGGACTTATGCCATTCTTCCCCGGCACAGGGAATCTTATAGCTGTTGTTTTGTGAACCTAAGCCCTTTTAACAATCTAAGAAGCTGATTACAAAATAGCATCAGGAAAATGCCACCAAAATAAACTGAAAGCTCAATTTAGCCAAATAATGGACTAATGCCGTTTTTCCCCGGTACCCTTCATTTGAGTATAGGGACCCATATCCGGAAAAGTGTCACTACGGCACTACGGCCCTAAGACGCGTTAAAATTTAGAAAGACGATGAATTGCCTAAATAGGATTTAATGCATTTAATGTTTACCTTTTGTACATGATATCACAACAATTGTTCAAAATGTCTTCCTCCATCCTGAATACACCGATTTAAACGTCGCACATGATTTCGGCGGACTTAACTAAAAATTTGATACTCGTTTTGAATGGAATAGAATAGAAAATGATTTCAAATGCTGCTGTAATTCGTCCAATTAAGTCTTGCTCTGTTTCTAGTGGAGTTTCGTAAAGCAGACTTTACATGTCCCTACAGGAACAGTGTATTCAGGTTGGAGGAAGACATTTTGAACAATTGTTGTGATTATATCATGTACAAAAGGCAAAAATTAAATGCATTATATCCTATTTAGGCAATTCATCGTCTTTCTAAATTCTTTCTTTTCAGATATGGGTCTCTATACTCAAATGTTTTCTACTGTTACACTGAATAACCCCTACAAGTTTGATCCCAGAGTTCTGAAACACCCTGTATATCAGAAAAATGTATAATGTATATGAACGAGAGTTCATATTTAATGTTATCTAGAATTATTAGTGAGACTTCCTAATCTGATCGTCTTGTGCATTAATCTGCTATCTAAATTTGCCATTTTCCATTGAAAATATGTATAGCTCGAGCACCTACTTGACGATAAGACTTCGACATATAAATGTGAAGTAGATTCTCGTAGAAACCATCTTAGAAATGTCTTTCAAAATGAGGGCAATATGGTTCTGTGTAGTGGTGACTTTTACTTTTGTGGAGTCATCTTCGCAGGTAGGAATTATTAATTTTTGAAAAACATGTGGCATTAAAAATGTTTCCAATAGGAGATTTTCGGATTTACTCGAGTGAGGCAGATTAAGATAAGGAGGCATACCATGCAACCTTGCATCTTGTTAAGCATCTCCAGAATAGTAAAATATCGATATATACCAGTGCGCATCAGACTAAGATAAGGAGGGTAAATTACATGCCTAAATGCAATAATCTAACGATTGAGTGTGAGGGTTACAAAATAGGAAAAAAACTTCATCACGAATGAGAATAACGACATGCGGCTTTCACTAGTTTGTACGATTTTTCATGTACTTTCTAAACAATGAAAAATAATAGTAACATTGTATTTGAAGTTTTCGAAAAACGACATTTCTATTTTTGAGGTCAAAGCTACGCCCCCTAGCGGACACTTTGGGAAGCTGGAAATAAGTTCCAGCAATTTCTCTTGGCCACTTTTATCGTATTAAAGTAACTTTTTTAACCGACAGCTCTAGGTTTCTTTTTGCAGAGATACAGCCGGCGTCCTTTATAAATGGTCCACCGGGTACAAACCGGCAGATTATTATACCTCCAATATCAGAGATACGTAGGGCGTATACAATATCTGATGCGCTCGAGTATTTTCATGCAGTTATTTTGTTTACATTTTTGACAACCTGAAGACGCTAAAAGAAATTATATAACCTTTTTATCATGCTGCGATCTAATCTTCAAAATCTCGAGTAACTACCTATTCTGCCTCTAGCCTACTAATTTTCATAGTTTCAAGTAGCCCATAAATACTTTAATAAAAAAATATCTATACAGCTGAATTCAAAAAACAATGACAATATTCAATAGTCCTACGGTATGCTCGGAAATAACACGAAAAGTTCGTATACAGGGTGTCCCGAAAAAAGTTTGCAATATTCTGACAGCGGTTTCTAGAGCTTGATAGGAAGAAAAGTGTATATAAACATAGGTCGACAAACGTCCCCTAAGGGCGCTACGGTCTTTTAAAGGGGCTCCCCTGAAAATGGTTTTTCCTTAATATTTCCGAAACGTGTTGAGATAAAGACATAAAATTTGGTATTCTAGCCTAGTTTTTTATGCTGGATTTAAAAATATTAACAATTTTAGATAGTTTTGTTTGGAAGCGTATGTAACAGGGACAGACTCAGGTTATTTTAGCCTCAAAGTTTTTGTGTGATTCTATTTTTGAAATTCAATTTTAGAATTTTAAAATTTAGGATTTTCTACATAATAAGGTAGATACTCTTATTAAATATCGATAAATTGTGCCATTTTTGAATAAAATCAAACTAAAAAATTTGTCACATGACAGGAAATGTACTGCGAATTTAAATGAATTGTTGATTATACATAGTTAGCCATGACTGCAAACAAAAGTTGTTTTGATTTGTTATGACTTATTTTGACGTTAAGCTGACATTGTTAACAGTGTAAAATTACTAGATTAAAATCAAAATTTTTATTAAATCGATTTAAAATACCAAGATTTACAGACAGAGAACTGACTGACATGCATTTTGTGTACGGGTTTTGCAATGACAATTCATTGGCAGCCGTAAGAGAATATTACAGAAGATTTCCCAATCGTACCTGGACGTCGAATGTTTACTGATTTGTCAAACATGGAAGTTTTCAGCGCACGCAGGGCTCAGGAAGGCCACTGGGAAATCATCGTATGGATATTGCTTTAAATATGTTTGAAAATAATCCGCAAATAAGCATACGAAATGTTTCAGAAATTATTGTATACACCTCGATCAATAGTAAGAAAAATATATCAGTACCTATTTGATAGTTATCCTAAAAATAATAATTTTAGATACGAAGAATGACAAGAATGCAAGGATTACATCCTTATCATATTAAACGGGTGCAGCATTTAACGGAGGCAGATTTTTTACCACGAATCGAGTTTTGCCAGTGGATATTAGCAAATGAAAACACTATTCCTAGAATATTATGGTCGGATGAGTCAATATTTACTAGGAATGGTGCTTTTAATTTCCATAACATGCATCACTGGTCAGATGAAAATCCAAAAATTGTTCGCTGTACAAATTACCAACATAGATTTTCATTGAACTTATGGGCAGGAGTAATTGGGGATCAAGTAATTGGGACTATTGTACTTCCCAATCGTCTTAATTAAGAGGTGTATCTGAACTTTCTGCGCCAGCAGTTTCAAGAAAATATGTTTTTTCAACATGATGGCGCCCCTGCACATTTTGGACGCAATGTTCGAAATTGGTTGAATGTCAATTTTCCAGACAGGTGGTTAGGTCGAGGAAGTCCCCTAGCATGGCCGCCACGTTCACCTGACCTAAATCCATTGGATTTCTATTTTTGGGGGTCATTAAAAGACTTAGTTTACTCGACTGAAGTAAATACTCAAGAAGATTTACTTCAAAGAATCCATCAGGCTGCAAATCAAATAAGAAGAAAAAGGTTTTCCACTTTTCGGGCTACGCAATCATTAGTTCGTCGAGCGAGACTCTGTATGCAACAATATGGGAATTTATTTGAACATTTATTGTAAAGCTAGTTTTAAGTATATCCATCTGTATGTCTTCTTTTTTAAACAAATTTCAATTTCGTTTGGAGAAAAAAATTATTTCTTTTGTTTTTGCCTAAATGTTAGCTATGTTGCAATAGAAAATATGTATTTATGTAATAATTATCAATTATTAAATTAGTTTTTTCGTTGCCATGGATAATTATTCAACAATTCATTGACATTCGCTGTACATTTCCACAAATTTTTTAGTTTGATTTTATTCAAAAATGGCACAATTTATCGATATTCAATAAGAGTACCTTTTTATGTAGAAAATCCTAAATTTTAAAACTCTAAAATTGAATTTCAAAAATAGAATCACACAAAAATTTTGGGGCTAAAATAACCTGAGTCCGTCCCTGTTACATACGCTTCCAAACAAAACTGTCTAAAATTGTTAAAATTTTTAAATCCAGCATAAAAAGCTAGGCTATGATACCAAATTTTATGTCTTTATCTCAACAAGTTTCGAAAATATTAAGGAAAAACCATCTTCAGGGGAGCCCCTTTAAAAGACCGTAGCGCCCTTAGGGGACGTTTGTCGACCTTTGTTTATATAAACTTTTCTTCCTATTTTAAGCTCTAAAAACCGCTGGTAGAATATTGCACACTTTTTTTGGGACACCCTGTATACATGGGTCTTAAGTGCCTTCTTACCAAAGTAATAATTTCGAAATCAAATAAATATATATCCGGAATAGATAAAGATATTGAGTTGAAATTTGGCGAACGTATGTAGTAACAATAGCATAATGATTACATCTTATGACTCAAACAGGAGGAAACATGTTTTATGCTACTGAATTTCTGAGCAGTGTATTCAATTTTACATAATCTGACTCTTGTCAGACCATATCTTTAGGAAAATATTCGGTTTCAATATTTTATTGAAAGCCATGTCAATAAATCACGTGAAGAAGGGTGACTCTGCAACACCGCCATCAGGACTATGTACTGCACAAGTTAGACCCTCAGAGAAAGAGTTAGTTATAAATATGTATAAAAAATGAATTAATAGTCAGTCAAACAGGTCCACACAATTTTTCCATAGACATTATTTTCCTGCCCTACCAGTGAAACCGTTCATCTTGCAACGTGGACATTCCCCCATACCTGATAACATGTTGCGTCAGACGCGGCAGTAATGATATACCACTTAGCGAGACCCGTACGCCTGCTCAACCCAAAGGGCGGATAAGTCTAGTATCGAAAACACTTCTCTATCACTCTATGTTTTAAGGTCAAATGTACGGAAAAACCTATGATGTGTGAAATATACAGGGTGACTTCGAACTTGAGTCATTTATTTTAACAGTCAGTAGATCTGATCAAAAGAAATGTTTTTTTCCTTTACCATTTTTCTGGTAAAATTAAAGTAACAAAGTTATAGCCCTTTGGAAGTTTGAGTACCGCCCTGTCTCAATAATAATATTATGTGCTCGTGTTTGACAACAACGGATATAATCCGCCTTATCGGTTCATCGCATCGGAAACAAAAAAGCGAAAGAATTTGGAACGATGTTTTTACAATTATTTTATTCAGTTGTATACAGTCAGTGTCAGTCGGTAACGCGTTAGTGAATAGTGGTGTCTGTTGTGTGGCTCAAACGAAATCAAAAATGGCACATGTTTACGAAAATGCTGAACTTGTGGACATGATTCTTATTTACGCGGCATCACGGATCTATGCGGATCGGTTTCCCAATCGAGTGCAACCAACCCCTCGTGCCTTTGTTAATGTAGTACAAAGGGCTCGTGAATCAGGTGACTTAAGACCTCACAGGGGAGGGCATGCCGGTGCTCCAAGACCGCACGATCAAATACAGGTCCGCACTGAAATACTTGTCGGAGGATACTTTATAAAACAAGGTAACATTTTTTTTTTAATTTTTACACACATATTTTGGTTTATCTTCCTTCTACAATCATTATCTGAAAATTAATGACTCAACTTCAAAGTCACCCTACAGGGTGTTGCTTAATGATATGCGAATATTTAAGGGTGTGAATCTACATGAAAAATTAATGTTAGTTTGCTTTATTAACTATGGCCCAAAAATGTTTCCTTACAAAAACTCGGGGTGTTGAAGTTATAGGAAAAAAATTGAAATTAATTAATATTTTCAGATATTTCACTGATATTTAGAACGCCGTGAAAGTTAAGAAAGTTGCATATTTTTCAATGCAAAAATAATTTTAAGCTTCAACAGTGGCGTGTGTCGGGTATTGACTTCAATATTTTTTAAGAAAAAAATGGTACGGAAATGGACGGAAATGAGTGACACAATACTTCCTCACCAGTAAGTGTGGGAAGTGAAAACTTAAATTTGTTTTACTTTAAAAAATTTACTGATATCAGCGATGTTGAATCAGATATAAGCTTTTGTAATCTTAAACTTAATGTCTACTTGATTTTTTCAGATAGGCAGCCTTCGTGGGTATTTTTCAACCAAACCTGAAGTGAGGATCATTAATGGTGAGGTCTGTAAACCTCACTGCATGCCTTACATCGTTGGAATCAACTTAGAAATGCCGTATGGGAGCGACTTCTGCTCTGGATCTTTAATTTCACCGAATTACGTCTTAACTGCAGCACACTGTCTGGATACGTGAGTGCTATGAAATATTTTAGTTCATTTGTCTTTACTTCCTACGTCACTGGGCGAGAAAATTGCGGGTTGTCGTAGTGGGATGGGGGAGAATGTATCGCAATTTTATCATCAGTACATCTACCGTTAAACCAGAAAAATATTCTCAGCAAATAGATCGCCTATCAGTCGCATATGATGTGCGCCACAAGGTTGTTTATAAATATTGCATCTTTGGCACTTGATCCGAACAGTAAAGCAGCACGGCAACATACGAGGTGGGCGTGATATTATTTATCAATATGAACGTTATGCTTGTAGTAATATTATATAGTATAGAATATAAGTATTTATCAAAAGGGATTATAATCAGTTATCAGACATTGCTGACACGGAGTTTTACAATAGAGCTCCAAAGGAATGAGGCTACCGTGTACGGATATGCTTATTGCTGCAATCTGAGGAATCTTTTTTCATGGAAAATTCTTCTAGAAGTTGTTTCTAATGAGTGGAAAATATAGAGTCGATCTATATTTTGTTTTCTTGATTTCAGAGCATTAAAGGCAGAAGTGATATTTGGTGCGCACAATATCACTGCAAATGAACCAACGCAAGTACGTCAAATGGTCGCAACTGATAACTTTATCATTCACCCAGGGTGGGGTAATGATGGGCAGCTTACCCATGACTTGGCATTGATCAAACTACATCAGCCTGTCGCTGAAAATGAATACATAAAAATCGTCGAGCTAGCTTCAGGAACTGATAGATATGTGAGCAGTATAGGTAAGGAAGCCATTACCCAAAATCCAGGGAGTAAAATCACTCAAAGAAAGTGGATGTAGTTCTCGTACCTTTCGGAAACTGTATTCAACAGGGAATGCTCTGTGCTATATTTCTGAACACTAAATAATTATTCTCGGGAGAAAAAGTGCGAAAGACTCGCTGTCGTCCATCAGCCTCATCTCTAAAGACGACTTTGTGATGGAACGATGATATGAAGAAACCAGGAACATATTATTTTGCTGAAAATGGATATATTCACAAACTTTTTTAACAAATGCCAACAGCTGCCAGAATTTGGTGTCACTCCTCACAAAACAGACGCTCGCCCACTTTCTCTCAGTGACTTTACTCGGGATCGATTTTTGGAAACGAGAGAGTAGAATAACAACCGGGCTATCCATTAGTCAAGTGAAACTCGAAATGAAGCAGAAACATCAAGAAAATCACTAACTATGACAATGAAGAAGGGGGTGTAGATAGCTGCTTCACAGTATAGTTCGCGCTCTTGACGAGTATGAATGTTGAAATTGCTACTGCTGCTGTAGGACTACTTTGCGCTTTGGCAATTTATCATTACACATATATAGGTAAGTAAAACTAGAGCAATTGAAAGGAAGTGAAAAAAACACAACCATTCCCGGCACTCGCTATGAGGCAACCGAAACACCAGCGAATGAGGAGCCTAGTCCTGTTCACGATATGTTCTCGCCTTGCGAACCCTTTGTCGCGGGACAAAAAGCCGACAACAAATGGGAACAACGCGCGCAGAAGAATACGCGAATAGGATCCACACTCATGGGTCGCGGCTAGTTCGCGGCTTCGCGCTTGATCCGCACGTGAATCTTGATACCCTCTCCAGACGCACGCGCAGATCACAGCGTGAAATCGCGGCGCGGATCGCGATGCGAATCCCGAAATTTGTTCCTACAGTTCCACACTCGCAGATCTTCGCGCCTGCTTCACAGTATAGTTCACGCTCTTGACGTGTATGGATGGTGAAATTGCTACTGCTGCTGCAGGGCTACTTTGCGCTTTGGCAGTTTATTATTATGCATATATAGGGCAACTGAAACTTCAGCGAATGAGGAGCCTAGTCATGTTCGCGCCTTGCGAACCCTTTGTCGCCGGACAAAAAGCCGACAACAAATGGGAACAACGCGTGAACGCGATGTGAAGCCGCGAAGAATACGCGAATGGGATCCACACTCATGGGTAGTTCGCGGCTTCGCGCGCGATCCGCACGTTAGTCTGGATACCCTCTCCAGACTCACGCGCAGATTTACGGCGTGAAATCGCGGCGCGGATCCCGAAATTTGTTCCTACAGTTCCACACTCGCAGATCTTCGCGCCTGCTCCACAGTATAGTTCGCGCTCTTGACGTGTATGGATGGTGAAATTGCTACTGCTGCTGCAGGGCTACTTTGCGCTTTGGCAGTTTATTAGTACGCATATATAAGGCAACTGAAACATCAGCGAATGAGGAGCCTAATCATGTTCGCCATATGTTCGCGCCTTGCGAACCCTTTGTCGCGGGACAAAAAGCTGACAACAAATGGGAACAACGCGTGAACGCGATGTGAAGCTACGAAGAATACGCGAATGGGATCCACACTCATGTGTAGTTCGCGGCTTCGCGCGCGATCCGCACGTTAGTCTGGATACCCTCTCCAGACTCACGCGCGGATCACGGCGTAAAATCGCGGCGCGGATCGCGGTGCGAATCCAGAAATTTGTTCCTACAGTTCCACACTCGCAGATCTTCGCGCCTGCTCCACACTATAGTTCGCGCTCTTGACGTGTATGGATGGTGAAATTGCTACTGCTGCTGCAGGGCTACTTTGCGCTTTGGCAGTTTATTATTATGCATATATAAGGCAACTGAAACACCAGCGAATGAGGAGCCTACTCATGTTCGCGAAGAATACGCGAATGGGATCCACACTTATGGGTCGCAGGTAGTTCGAGGGTGAGTCTGGAGAGGACACTAAATGCACTCTCCTGCAGTTTTGACACAAATTTGGCATATGCCAAGGACTAAAAACCCTTGTATGTATTGACAACGAAAAAAATAAAGAGATCGCTCAAATTTCTACTTGACGTCATTTTTTTTCTGATAAGCATCAAATAACCAGGATAAACTGCAACATCCATGAAAAGAGGGTGTAAAATATATATACTAAGTGACATATAAATCCTAACACCCAGTTTAAATGGTTTTATTTTAATAAAAGTTGGTGAATGTATTTATCTTACTGTAAATAACAAGTGAAAAAATTTTCAGCCTTTATCAGTTGGACATTCCGGTTTTTATACTGCTTTTTTTTAATCCACTAACGCTATAAAAATGAATATTTCAGCCGCAGTAAAGAATCAACGTTGGCGGATTTTGGTTCTTGACATCCTTTACGATCGGTTACGATGCCTAGAGTACGGAGACCTGTACGATTTCGTCAACTTAGTGAATTTGATAGGGGCCGTATAGTGGGACTTCGGGAAGCAGGACTTTCTTTTCGGGCAATTGCAGTTAGAGTGCAAAGAAGTGTAGACACTGTGGTTAGGTGTTGTCAGGCATGGCTTCGAGAAGGCCGTACGCAAAGAGCAAGGGGCACTGTACGCCGCCGTAGAATAACATACCGTGAAGATCGCCGACTAAGATTATTGGCCTTAAGGGACCGTTTCTCCACTACCAGGTCTATTGCAAATGAATGGTTAGCAGTACACGGAAGACCTATTGGCATGCGAAGTGTTTACCGACGAATGAGAAGTTTTGGCTTGTTTTCATACCGGCCACACTGGGTCCTCCCTTTAACTCGAGAACACCGACGTAATCGCCTGCCTTGAGTGGTGCAGACAACGGTCACTCTGGGATCAGGAATGTCTTTAGTGACGAGTCTCGATTTTGTTTAGGCATGCACGATGGTCGTGCCAGGGTTAGAAGGCGACGTGGTGAAAGTAGGTATCCACAGTTTTTTGTTGAAAGACATGTTCATCACACTGTTGGAGTTATGGTTTGGGGTGCTATAGCTTATGGTTCCAGGTCACCTTTAATCTTCATCAGAGGTAACATGAACGCGCGGCGTTATATCCACGAAGTTCTAGAACCCCATTTTTTACCCTATCTTGACACCCTGGCAGATCCAACTTTCTAACAAGATAATGCCCGACCATATGTTGCAAGAGTCACAATAGACTTCTTTCAACATAATGATGTCACATTGTTACCATTGCCACCAAGATCTCCCGACTTATCCCCAATTGAGCACGTGTGGGATATGATGGGTAGGAGATTGCTCAATTTGCAACGTCCTCCTCAGACTCTAGAAGCACTTCGAGAGGAGTTGGTGGTTACCTGGAATGAGATACCACAGAAGGACATTGACCACCTGATCAGAAGCATGCCTAGGCGCATTGGAGAATGCGTAGCACATCAGGGTGCATCCACATATTATTAAAGGTCAAAGGACTTTAAAGCAGTGCAATCATTTTGAAATTTTTATCATTTACTTATTATGCTTCATTAAGTACTTATACAAAATTTTATTAAAATAAAACCATTTAAACTGGGTGTTCGGATTTATATGTCACTTAGTATATTTCAGCTATGGTAACCGCATTTTTGTCTAGTTAGAGTATAACTCATTATTGTACTAAAAAATGCTTCTATTCTAAAGGTAGGATTGCTGGTTGGGGCATGACAAGCAACGAACAGACGGTTGTCACTGCAGTTTTGAGATACGTCGATGGAACGATTATGAGTAAAAAAGCTTGTAGACTGGTTGATTCGTCTTATCGAAGAATTATCAGAGATACACACTTATGTTTATCCGGATCATCGTCTAGAGGGAATATTGGCACTTGTGGTGGTGACTCTGGTGGACCTTTAGCTGTGGATGGGGTAAGAAGTAGAGAACATTGTGAAAAAAATGACATCTAACAAATATTTGTTTTAACTTACAGTTAGGAGTTATGTATTAAAATGATAATCACATAAATGCCCGCCTCTGGATGCATCACGCACCTCCGTTCTCTTGATGTCTTTCATCACCTGTTGATAGGTATCCCGAATAGTGCTCTACGCTGTTTGATCTATCGGAATAACTCTTATTTTTAGAAATACCCACAGAAATACGTATGGATCGTTAGATCTGGTGTTCTTACGGGCCATATCTCATCGCCTAATAAACCCTACCTCCAGCGTGTCTTCTGACCTTACTTTTTACGTCCAACATCACTGGCAAGAAAGTATTTAATCGCGAAAAATTCGAGAGTAAATATTATGTTTTTTCGGATGATATACAAGGTGTTTCAGAACTATGAGATTAAACTTGTAGGGGTTATTCAGTGTAACAGTAGAAAACATTTGAGTATAGGCACCCATATCCGGCGCTTGTGCGTTGTTATCTTTAAAAACGATAACAGAGATTGTTTTTTGTAGCTGCATTCCTTATCGCCTTAGTCGTGCTATCGTATTTGTGATGTTTGCACGAGCAACAACTTTATCCTTACCACTTCCAGAAAGTTCAAGGATTGACTGTAGCCTCTTTCACAAGAGACGGAATTTTTAATAGTAGGAATAGCCACGTTTGGGATAAAGAAAAACCCATGCAATTTTTCCTAAAAAACATCAGCAACGTTGGTCTGTCAACGTATGGGCAGGCATTGTTGATGATTATTTGATTGGGCCATACGTTCTATCGGAACGGTTAACCGGACCTATTTACCGACGTTTCTTGGAGGAAGTTCTTCCAGAACTTCATGAAAATGTTCCATTGAACGTACGACAGCAAATGTGGTTTCAGCATGATGGAGCGCCAGCTCACTTTGCTGTACAAGTACGTGAGTATTTGGCTCAGCGGTTTGGGCACTCTTGGATTTCCAGAGGTGGAGCAGTTTCTTGAACTCCTAGGTCACCTGATTTAACGTCGCTAGATTTTTTCCTGTGGGGACATGCAAAGTCTTTGGTTTACGAAACTTTAGTAGAAACAGAGCAAGACTTAATTGGACGAATTACAGCAGCATTTGAAATCATTCAAAACGAGTATCAAATTCTTAGTCAAGTCCGCCGAAATCATGTGCGACGTTTAAATCGGTGTACCCAGGTTGGAAGAAGAGACATTTTGAACAATTGTTGTGATGATATCATGTACAAAAAGCAAAAATTAAATGTATGAAATCCTATTTAGGCAATTCATCGTCTTTCTAAATTTTAACGCGTCTTCGAGCCGTAGCGCCGTAGTGACACTTTTCCGGATATGGGTCACTATACTCAAATGTTTTCTACTGTTGCACTGAATAACCTCTAGAAGTTTGATCCTTTAGTTCTGAAACACCCTGTATAACGCCCACATCACGAAAAATCATGTTAATTTAATTTGGTCCGTCGGCGTGTCTGTCTGTCCGATAATCCTTAGCTCGTCTAGAGCTTGGAATATACCACTCGGATGTTGACGAAATTTTCGTACAAGGCTACTTCTATGCAAAGAGCGAATAAGCTTTGTAATTTTTGAAAATAGGTCCAGCAATCCATACAAGCGCATCGAAATTGTCATATGTTATCGTACACAGTGGCGTGGCAATAATTAATTCATTAGAAGGGGTACAGTGGTGGTCCCTGGATTCATGTTCAGCAAGATGGGTGGGGCATGGGTCAGGAGTATTAATAATGGAAGAATAGACAATCATTATAAAGGGGTTGGAGGAGGTGGCGGAGGTTAGAGATATGTGAACGGGTATGAAACGGTCGAGTCATCCATATTGATTAAACACATCACAACATTTAGAAGTAAAAAAGATAATTCTCAAAATTAACGTACATTCAGCTATTATCACACATATTATCATAGATCGTACTGTACCTGGAATTATCGTATGAAAAACGATAATTATCATACGACTATACGACTGGAAACGCTGGTCGCTGGGCTGGCAAGTGGCAGTTTAGTCATAGTAACATTGCCAAATGGTTGGGGACTGTGAACGAATTGTATGGGCCTATTTGACTGATTTGATTCATCAGGGTGCGCCATCTTTTATGTCGGTATGTAAACATGAAATAACTGTTTGGGCGTATTCCAAGCGACGTGGACTGTCAGTTGGCAATATTTTTTGTGTTAATTGCACCTTATAAGGAAACAAATGCAAATCATCCTTCAAAAAGCGCCGCAACGTGGTTCCACTGATGCCAAAATGCTGAGCGCGGTGACGATACGGAACTTTTGGGTTCTGGGAAACGCTGTCTCTGACCGCTTCAACCAATTCATTGGAACGTCTTGGTCGTTGATGAACGGTATGTTGACGATCTTCCAATGTAGTGTCCCGTACTCAAGAAAATTCGAAACCAAACGACGGATAGTGTTGTCAAACGGTGCCTGTTCGCCACGATATTTTCGACGATATGCTCGTTGCGAACGACGATTTTGAGTGTACATTGTGTCTAGTTCTGCGCGTTGTTTCGGTGTAACGCGATTCATGACTAAAATTGTAGTAACCAAATAACTCGGTTGGTAAATATCAATGTCATTCGATGTTTCAATACCGACATAAAAGATGGCGCACCCGGTAGTTCTTTTTTTAATCATGTTTTTAGCTGAGTTTTTCCTCAGAGGGGCTGACTTGAGCCTCGCAGAATCCTTTATGAGCTCGTTACAGAGTTCCGTGGTACAGAGTCGACTTACTTGTCGCCACTTTTTGAAGATGTCCCAACGTCATTGGTATGTTTTGTTGCTATTGAGTGTGGGCATTTATTCGAGATATTTTTCTTAGATAACTCCTAAGATTCAATAACAAATTAGAATAAAAAGTTGGATCGATTTAATTTAAAAGAGAGTGGAAAAACACCATTCAATCATGGATTAACCACCTTGTATTCATTTATATTTTTTAATTATAGGTACAAGTAGGCATTGTTTCATTTGGAACATCTCAATGTGGAATTGGAAAACCGTCCGTCTTCACAAGAGTATCATCGTATGCGGATTGGATCACTAGCAATAGCGATGTTGCTATAAATAAATAAAAAGAAATTATTCATTGTTTTATTATCAGAAATCGGCTAAGTAAAATAATACCCACAGAAGGTCAATCACTTCTGAAACTTGAATCCTGTGCTAAGCTACAAGCTTTAGGTAAGCATGTCCAAGGGCCGAACTGGACCAGATAATGTCAAAATATTGAAAAATTCAATGTGGCACTACAAATGGTGTATCATAATTTATGAGAGTACCTGAAAATTGTTTATGTTAGTGTTCAATTCCGAATAAAACAAATTGGCCAGAGTATCCGTTAAGCAAACATACGGCCGAAGTCAAAAACGTCGAGTAGCTTTTAAGAAGAATTAAAATTGAATAAACCGATTGTACTATAGTATCACCGGTAGTTGTGTCGTTGCATAGTAACAGATCAAAAGAAACAGTTCCCGTGACAACCGTATTGGCTAGTTTGAATATGTCGGTTGTTAATGATAGTCTAACGCCCTGGGGCATAAGAAAGTGGAGGTTAATACATGGAAACCCTATTAGTAATACATTTTAATTTACTACACGGTCCTGGATAATGAAAACAAGGTAAGGAATAGGTATGCAAACAAATATTCTATTCACAACCGACTTACCCCTACAATTTACAGTCGTTTTAAAATCCCTAATAAGTTTTATCAGCTTGCGTATACCTTTAGCTCACCTTGTAGAAAGATCATAAAATGATGATTTACTAGATAAATACATATAGATAAAGATAACAGTTATCTCTCACATGGTCGGTGAAAACTAAAATGTGTACCTGACGAAACATTTTTTCATAAACAATTGCTTGATTCTATGATAAATCGATGGCAAACATTCGATATGTGTGATTGTAAATATGATTTTCTATCGACTGAGCTTTGCAAAATCGCATACAGTCTAGAGTTAAATGTATGTGGGTGTAGATAATCATGGCTCGACTTATCCGGATTTTGTTTTTGGCATGTGCCTGTTTGTTGGGTCAGGTAAGTGAGAAATATTAATTCATATTAGAAGATAAATCGTATATTCGCCGTCTCCTTCTAGAAAATCCAGAAAAATTTAATTTTTCCATGAGATTTTTGTCTATGAAATTGTGTTTATAACGTTTCTTTATAGTAATGAGCAAAGTAGCTATTTTAACAAAAATAAAATATATTGCTCAGCTTACATTGCCATAGCCGATTACATTTTATTATGAAAATATCAGCTATTTGAATTTAAAGAAAGAATCTTCCAAAAAGCAACTGAAATTAAGTTATTCACACACACACACCCATTTAGGACGAGAAATAGTGGTATTCAATATTATTTTCTGGCAAGTCGCAATTTCATAGAACAACTCTTAATATTTTGTGATATGACCTCATAAAAGAAAAATCTCATTTTTTGTTCTGCTTCAAGGTTCAAAATTTCATATGCGATGTTACTTAGCGCGATATTTTTAACCCCCAACTTAAAAAAGTTTAAAGTGTGCATCTGTGGATATGTCTGTCTGACATATGATTGCTCCCCAATGGGTGAACCTCGATTTTATTGAGATTTTTTAGTCGATGTTTGATGGAAATCGGTTCATTAGCTTAAGTTACCGGGGAAAGTTGGGTCGAGCAACCCAAAGTAAGCGAATCTCTCTGAACGGAGTATTATATGAAATGCTATAATTTGTCGATTAAATCAAAAACAATACCCAAATGGATCAACGGTTTTGTGTGTAACTTTTTCCAATGGAAAGTTTTACTTATTGAGATAGTTCTTCGCCATGTTTGATGGAAATCGGTTCATCAGTCTAACCTTGCGACCCTACACAGCAGCTCCCCAAACTCCACAAAATTTTTCCAGCACTACCATTTTGATTGTATTGCTGGAAGAAACACGCCACTTATTGCATTAGGAGGGCGATTTACAAGAAGACGCTGTACAGACGGCTTTCAGTTGTATTATAGAAGTGACGTAATAAATATAATAATAAACGTCGGGGTTAGTTTATTTTAGTTATATTTCACTTTGTTGTAAGTATATATGAGTTATTCGCTTTTCTTTTTGAAAATTATTATTATCAACTGACGAGTTATTTATGAAATCGTTTTTCAATACATAAACAGGGTGACCCATCCCCGTGTGGACGGAATATTACTCATAAACAAATACATTTTGGGAAAATCTATTTATGGGATGTTATACATGAAATTTGAGGTCACATTTCTAAAATATGGGTCATTACACAAGGTGTCCCAATATCGACCTACATATCAAAGTTGTGATTTTACAAATGGAATGCCTCAAATTTTATTGCATATTTGGATAAACCAATTCAAAAGAAGAAAATTGATATTACATACTCTGGGGTTTTGGTAATTAGCTACTGAGATATAAGGTGTTTTGTCTATAAAAACCCCCCACTTCGGCAACCGCTCGGTCCGCCATTTTGAAATTTGGAGTGCTGAATTTTGTATCAAAAAATATACAGGGTGATGCATTTGAAATTTTTGAGACAAAGTACAATTCGCGTTTTTGACCACCCTGTATGAGCAAAAATGAAAATCCAAAAAAGTAATAAATAATATAAAAGCTGAGGTGTGTAAGTTTTTTATACAAAATTCAGCACTTCAAATTTCAAAATGGCGAAGTGTACGGTTTTTCTGGACAAAACACCTTCTTACATTTCAGTAGCTAATTACGAAAATTCCATAGTATGTTATATCAATTTTCTTCTTTTGAATTGGGTTATCTAAATGTGCAATAAAAGTTGAGGCATTCCATTTAAAAAATCACAACTTTGGTATGTAGGTCAAAAGTGGGACACCCTGTATAATTGCCAATATTTTAGAAATATGCCCTCAAATGTCATGTATAACATATGCCATAAATAGATGTTCCCAAAATGTATTTGTTTATGAGTAATATTCCGTCCACACATGGATGGGCCACCCTGTATACCTTATATTTTTCTTTTTTTTATTAAAATAATGGCATAGAAACACGATAGGAAACACGTCATGTCCAGGAGATACGCAGAATTTATTCCATCAATTTTTGTACACCGACTAAGTTTTCAAACTCTTCGTGTTAGTGTTCGTGCATAGATTGAACTTGTGTTGGGTATAGATTTTTCTACTCATCAGCTTGTCATAGATTACACTCTAGACAAACGAGTGAGACGCCCTTTTTGTTCTCGAAACCAGGTCAGAAGAAACAAGTATATCACCGTTCAATGCAATACATACAGTGCGCACCAAATAAAATAATGTAAATTATTTTTTTCATTTTATGTAAAATAAACTGAGTCAACTTTTATTTCACCGTGTAATCAATCTACTACTCCGAAAAATGCTCAAATAGAGAACCATATTTTCATACAGGAGTAATTTTCGCAAACAATTTATCCACTTTTACTTGCTACGCCACTGGGCAAGGAAGTATTGTAATCACGAAAAATTTTTAAAATGAGAAATTATGTTTTTTGGATGTTATAATTATATAGTGTAAATATAACTTGAGAAGTACCGCTTGGATTTTGATTAATGTTAGGTACTGATATCCCGAGCACGCAAAAGCCTTGCAGTTTTTGTAAATTGGTCCAGTGGCGGAGGAAAAAAGGCCAAAATCGAGAAAATAAAACTTTTAGATTTTCCTGATCATTTCCAGAAAAATTATTGTAGGGGTTGATATTTGGGGGATGAGGAAGGCTATTTTGCAATATATAGGATCTTAAGATTAAATGTTTTATGAGGCAGTGAGACTGGACGTGGAGATGAGCAGCACAAATTAAGCTTATTATTTCATGGTAATAAAAAAAAGTCAAATGGCTCAAAAGGCAGAACCATTTTTCTGTATGATTTTAATAATTTTGCTGATAAAAAATGTCAACAGGAGATGTACGGTCGGGAGACTTTTAATTTGTGAAGCAAATAAATTCATCTTATTTATACATTAATCATGATTGATCGCTGGCTGCAGGAGAAAAACACGACGCCAACTGAAAATTACCCACTGTCCGTTTTCTTTTCAGGTATATTCGCTGAATAGGAACATCTCCTTTCCCAAAGATGTTACAGTATCACCGTTCACCTACAGGATAATAGGAGGCTGGGAAGCACGGCCACATTACTATCCTTTCATGGCAGCCGTCATGATCACCACGAAAGATTCAAACTTTTTCTGTGGAGGATCCCTCATCACTTCTCAGATTGTCCTTACTGCTGCACACTGTCTGGACGGGTACTGATTACTAGTTCAGGAGAAGATTTATGATTTCCAAATTAAATTGAAAAAAACGCAATACGTGGGTAGGGTGAGAAGTTCTCAATCTGACAATGAAAGACTACGATTTTCGGCTGAAAAATGATTTAATTTTGTTATATTATCTGCTTGGACTGTAGCACTTGGTCCAACGTTCCTTCACATTGGGATTCCTTCTAGAAAGTCTTGAAGGCTGTCAAAATATTTATCAAGTGCTTTCTAAAACCGTCTGAAGTTTTTCACTGTTAACACAATTGTAGGCAGGTGCGTTGCCCTAATGAAAAAGACCTTTTTTTCTTCCTACGCCATAGGCTAGAAAGTATTAAAATCGATAATGGTATGTTTTTTGAATGATATATATATATATATATATTTCAAAAAATAGGAAAATATGATCATTTTCTCTTTATATATATACAATTCATTATTAATTAGGAATTGGCAAACTTTAAGCTTAGTAAACTCTTTTGAGGGTAATTTCGAGCTTTCGACAAACTATGTTGACATCTTCAGGGGCTAAAACACAAGTATGATGCTAGCAACTAATTCAGAAAGGATTACCGTCAAAAAGGCTTAATAAGCTTAGAGTTTGCCAATTCCCAATTAATAACTAATTGTATTTCTTGCCCCAACTATATATATATATATATATATACATATACTATATATATATATATATATAACTTGAGACGTGGTCATTGTCGAAGTACCCAACAAAAGGCGGAAGCTTTAATTTTTCACCTACCTACGTATATATATACGAGTATATATGTATAAAGAGAAAATGATCATGCGGAGAAAGGTATATAACAAAAAGTAGAAAAATAATGGGCAAAATCCGCAAAAAAGAGGATTTTGCCCATTATTTTT